TGGCTATAAAACAACAGCCTCGAGATTCGACGTCCCAACCACCAGACGAGGGATTAACGTACTATCCACCTGGTCACCCGTATAATCCCAGTAGCCTGAAATTAAACACTATCAAGTATATACTCCCACGACATCTTCCCCATTGACATGATGAATTCCGATTTGTTTGTTTTTGTATGGCGTAGTTTAGTTGTTTACTGCTATGTACGGAGCCAATTATTAACGGTTGATTTCCGTGTACAAATTCCACTTGGTTGTATATTGTACACTTTTTGTTAATTTGTTATGTATCAATCTACTTTGATCTGAACGAAGTTTTAACATTCCGTATTGTTCTGTTCGAATCAAGAGGTTTACAACTGCCTTGATAGACTGTGTATAACCATGGATCCTACCAGAGTCTAAACTGCCATTGGTTTAATCGCTTCGTTTAATCAACTTTATTCTATACGAACTATTCAAATTTGATTTGTAATCCTTTCTTCACCGAGTTATTGATCGATATGCTGAGCTCCGATTCGACATCTTAACGCTGAATAACGGTTATGAGTTAATTTGATCCATTTGATTATTTTTTAGTCTACTTCGCGACTTATTGATTAGTGATATACAATCTATTGTTGTACTTGCTAATCAGTTCACATTTAAGAAAGAAATCTATCTTGATTAGTTCATTTATATGGTATCGCATTTTGTGTTCCCTTTTACGTTCAATAGAAATGATGGGTTTCGCTATTTGACCGATACCATGTAATTTGACAGATTCGATCTGTATCAACGTGACTGAGTGATCACTCAAAATTCGACTGGTTAACGTAGAAAACAAAACACCAGTCTGTCTAGTCGGTTGGAAACGTATCTAGAAAAAAAATGGTTATATTCGTTAAGTGGGACTCCTGGACCTTTTCATTCATCTTACCAACACAACAAGAAGACAATTATTGCGATATTTATTGGACAATTTGTTCTGGCTTATCAGCCACATACAAGCTACTCAAACTTAATCGATTAACAGGTAACAATTTGATGAATCATTTTGTCAAAAAAAATAGTCAACTTTAACACAGACAAACAGCCTGTATAAATGACAGTCGTACACACACACACGTTCGATTAATGATGTCTGTCCGACCTGGCCAGACTGATTACGAGAAGTCAGGTTGGTGTTACAAAAGTGTCAGGGTAGATTAATCTGGCATAACTTTACCGTGATGTTAGCTGGAGTTTAGTTTGGCCAGAGATAGAACATATTAGAAAATATACATGGGAAACGGTTACTAGGCTATCTTTCGACCTTATGGATAGTTCAAACTGTTAACAGTTATGCTTTATAATTTATGGGGTTTTTTTTCAAGACACCAACCTGACTGCTCGTAACCTCTGTGGCCAATTCAAGCAGACGTTATTAATCGAACGTGTGAGTGCAACAGTCGTTTACGTAGACCATTTGCTTGTACTAGAATTGGCCGGTTTTATTTGGATAGAACGACTCATCAAGCTGTTACCCGTTAATTGGTTATATTTAATGAGCTTGTCTGTGGTCGATGAGCTAAAATGAAATACTCACATCTCACATTAAGTGTCTTCTTGGATGAATTGGATCTGGGGTTTCATGACGAATATGGTCATTTTTTCTCAACGCACTTCCCACTGTTCAAACAAGCCATATTTCATTTTTGGAGTTAACCAACCTGTACAGATAGATTCAGCTAAATAAAGTGCTACACGTCAAACTACGACAGCAAAACGTCCGGGTGTTGCAGCAAATGAAACTGACTTTCACTGGCCGTGATAATAACCAACACATCGTCCAGGACATTCGAATGTTTTGATAGTTTAACACACAAATCGACTGTTTATCTTCAGTTATCCGATAAGGCGAGTGATGTTCTTGTCAAGCGAATGTGTAGATTAGCGGTGGTATGCATCTTGATGACACTCACGTGGCGATGTATGGAAGTCGCCTTACGTTCTATGGGCAGTCAATTTGAAACTGTGCCATGAACAGTTTGCATTCATTTGCACCCATTACTAGCATTGCTGTTCTTTTTCGGAGCGTTTTCTCGGTCATTCATTTCAAATCAGACGAGGAATATAGCACAGTAAATGTCAGTTTCATCAAGAGAGCAATAAAACTGCTAACATAGTAAGTGTGGCTCGTCAAGTTGCCGACCACATACGAAATCTATTTCCGTGATGGTTTTGTATTTCTCAGCGTTATAGATGTATGAAGCGAAACCAACTCTGTTTTACACATATCACGTTGGCAAACATGAATAGGTCAAACGTGGTCTACGGCGCTCTGATCGTCATCAGTAGTTAACCCGGATTATTGGTCTAAAGCACTGTGCTCAACATTTCGACTACGTTTACGTTACATCTGGCTAAAACGATCTCCAGTTTAACCGTCAGTTCGTCAATAATGTAAATCAACTTTGTTAAAATTTGCACTGGTTGGCCCTTCAATTTAACTTTGGTGGATTCATTTTGAAATAATATATGTATGTAGAGTCTCTTAACTTTTTGTTCTCTTGTTACATACTGTTCTTCATACCTGTTATGTTCATTGTACATATTAACCACTTGTCTATTGTTTGAATGAATGCACACTTTGTCCTCGCACGCCTCGTTTTCTGCTAGCACGTGGTCCTTGTTACCGGGAGTTAACTGTGGCAACAGCGGATTTTTAATACGTTGGATAAACTGGATGTGCTAGAATTACTCTCTTATTCTGGAGGAGCGTTATTCTAACTTATAGCGAATGTAGTGTAGTGAAATTCATCGTAGACAGTCATTGTAGATTATTTTGTAACCTTGTCGGTTCATTTCTTGGTTCAACTACATGTATCAGTAAATAAAAACTAAACTAAAAAACATTCCAGATGGTTTGCATCAGCGCCATTAGAAAAAGCGTAAACAACAGTTCACGATAAACCTGAATGCGCAAATTTTATCAACCTGCTGCATCAGCCTAAGACGAACAGTGGAGTGAATACGACACGGCCAAAGTGAGCGAGTGTTTGCTCGCCTACACCTGCTTATGCACCTGCCCTGATCAACAGACGGTTTACGAGATTTGACGTGAGCTGTATGTGAGTGAAACTGTAGCCACATGAATAATAGCCTAAGCAATACGAGATAAGGAACCAGGTAGGTGGTCCTTTTTCATAGGTGTTAACATTTTAGTGGGGATAAAATTTCCTTCCGTTTTAGCATCAAACGGAACTGTTGTTAAATGGAGAAAACTAAACCCTCCTTTTAAGATCAAGGAGATTTAATCATCATTGAGAAAAACTTGTATGAATGTTACTTTTGGTTCCGGTAAGTGGATAGAATGATTGTCCGTCAATGGTTTGTTGAAGCGCCTCATAAACGATTTTGGATATCCGTTTACTTTCAGTGCCTCTTCACAGTGCAGCTTATCGTTGTCGATCGAACGAATCCCTGTTGTTCTGAACGGGAACCAGTCAGCCGTACAGTATACGTTGCCATATCCGAGTGGGCTTCTGATAGAGAGATTATACTTTGGTGCTCTTAGATCTGCGATGGATTAATACATCAAGAAACTGTGGACAAATAGACATCATCAAGCCTAAATGCCAGTAAACCCGAACGGAGAAACTGGAACAGATCAGACCAAAGTCGAAACCGGACAATGAATAACCAATCGGATGGGATTCCCAAACGAAGGAATGGCTTAATCAATCAATTTACAAGGACCAAGTAGTTGAATTCGAGGTCGAAGTGTGACATCAACACGGAACAACCACTCAGGCTGCAGATCGAATACTCAAAAGCTACAGGAAATAACCAGCCGGACATAGGGAATAAGTTCAAATGCAACAAGAATCAAACAATGGTCGGTCAGATGAAGGGTCAAGAACAACAGAAGGCGATCAACAAGAATTCAGATCAGGAGGTCAACTCACTCTGTAAGGGCAGCCATCCATCAAACTTCACTAAACTCCACGCTCAAAAATTATACGCTGAAACACTTACGCACTGATGATGTCATCTTGCTTGATGAGGAAACGTTTGCAACCTAAATGTCAAACTCGGTGAATATACCAATACCAAAACTTTTATAGCTCCGGAGTGTTGTAATCGAAATCATATTAACAAAGAAACACTTCCGATTTACCGTAGTTAGGTCAATGTTAGATCAGTGTTGTTACAACATTCCTAATGAAGGCTACCCGAGGTGGTTGGAAGATAGAGTAGTACAATTTGCTCGTAAGGTTGCATTATTCCTAATCGATTTATCAATAACATGATAAACAAGACGCCCAAACTGTTTGATTTCATTCGTATTAAATTTGGTGCGGATATCCTGCATGCATTTTAAATCGTAGATTCTCGTGGTTACAACCAGTGTATTGATTTATCTCTGATTGTTGATGAGTGAGATAATGTCATCCATACCCCTTTGATAAATCGTTCCGTGCGTGATATTTTGGTTCACTCTATGGGCGTTGTGGGTTCGTTATCTGGGCAACGAAAACAGCTGGGAGGACTGAGCCTAGGAAACTTCCTATACCCACTCCATTGATTTTAATAAATCTTTTCCGGCGGAATTTGACCTGAACATAATTTACGCACATATATGGTAGATTTTGCAATTCACACAGCTAGATGGTAAGCGGTATTGCATTAGAACTCACGTAACTGTTTACTTAGTTATTTGCTCTGTTGATGACTTCAGGCTATGCTTTGGCAAGTTCATTTTGAAGAGAAATACGTACCTTCCTTTTGAACTTGTACGACAGGGTTTTAGTCGGACTCGAGTGGTATATGATGAAAATTACGTCCATATCGGTCAAACTGACGTTGTATCTACCTTAATGTTTCGGATCCTTTCGTTTGTCTTCGGGTTCCTTAGCTCAGATTGAGTGAGCATGTGGGCTGCTTGATCCCAGATTTTCCACATCTCGTTCTCTTCCGAATCAACAGATCTGACACACTGCTTATTGTAGTATTAGTAAGTTGTTTGTGAAAAATCAGGACTTCGGCTGCATTCGAACCAGCGACAGAAACACCATACCGAAACACGGCAAGCGCTCTACCAAGTGAGCTACGGAGTCACAGCAGGAGCTTAAAAATGTCACATATGAACTCTGTTGCTTACTGCATATTGGTAAAACAACAGATCTGAACACAGTTTGGTTGGCTTGACCAGAAGTAGTATAACTAAAAGTGAGCGACAGCAGCTCGCAGCCTGAACATCGTCACGGTAACCAGATTCGAATGTCTTACTTACACTTAATGGTCTGTAATTAACTATACTTTCGAGTGTCGGAAGATTATTAAGATGTGAGTTACTGCTACTGGTAATCCTAGCTATCACTGCATTGTGCTTCATTAACTAGCACAATTTGTAATTCACTTGTTTGTCAGGCTTCGTTTTGTTTTGGTCACTGTCCAATACCTGAAAGATCAGTTTTCGTTCGGAAGAAAATCGGGTGACCTATATCGTTCTCCGAAGATAATTTGCCGTATTGTCGGTTCACTGTTGATTCGCATCGTTAGGGCTACTGTCCGTGCTAATTTGAATAGCTGTTCTTTAATTAGGTTTTGTTAAAAGTTTCATTTTTTATCAACTACTCTTTATTATAATGACTACTCGAATTCATTTTCCGTCCAAAGAATTCTCACAAACGGTCAATGGGATCTGACTGTGCTACTCGTCATTGTCTACGCTGAACCTGTACTGTATAGTGCACGTGAAATCCAGCGAAATATTAATTGGTGAACATACGACACACCACCACAGTTCACACAACTCTGTATTCTTTGTGAGAAAATTCTGAGTATGGTTGACTACTAGTAAAGCAAACCAGAACGATCAGCTGGCTTCACGGTTTCGACAGATTACACTACAGAACGGTATTGGCTAACTGGTTGTATGAATTGCACCAAATGTGAGGTTATTTCCTAAGGCTTTGAAATACATCAAGTTTGTTTAATTTTTATTAATGAACTTCAGTAGTCAGCGTAGCTTGTCAACCTTACCAAGTGCAACTCTTCCTATTATCCAGTTCAAAAACAGGCTTTGATGATATCAGGCCACCAAAGACACGTAGACTTTATAGTCTGAGAACCGTAATTGCTTATTCGTCACCAAACATTGCTAACGAGATCTCGGTAACTCGAAAACTTGCTCAGCATAGTTATTAAACTAAACTGAGCATTTCAAGTGTTCTCATAGTCATCTATCAGTTTGAATATGTGTTGTTCAGTGCTCAATAATCCGAGACGTTACTCTTTGCCGTTGGACTTCTCACACTATACAGTTTGGCGGTTAACTGATTAGTCGTCTTCGGTAACTAGTCGAAAAATTCGTGGATACATTTCCACTTCTCTCACGGTTGAACGGTTCCTACCATCAGTCAAGGTGGCTGACAGATAATGATGACAACTATGGCGATCACCGACTTACTCGACTTACTCAGCAATACTATACCTTTTTACATATCTGTTTCCATTTTAAGCACAAGATTTTCCATTTCAGGCAAAAGCAAATCACTTTGGTGCATTAGGATTTCCACGTTAGAATCTTGGA